TGAGTGGGTTTGATTTAACCATCGCATCCCTTCGTTTACTGGATTCTGTTTTGAAGACTATCACTGAACACACACGTTAATACAAAAGAGTTCTTTATAATCTTGCAAAAGATGACCATTTTTTTAAAAAGACCGGACCTTTCTATTGAGACGCTGTAAGTGAACCTTTAGCAACAACTCACCATACGTCGTTTTCCTCCCTGCACGAACTGCCACTCTCAATGGTCCGATTTCGCATTTGATCAGAGTAGTGTTTACAGTAATGCTTTATTTTCTTGTTCAGGATATTTTTAGTAATCCGCAAAAATCTATGAAAATGAATTTCATTTTCTGATGTCGACTATGAACTCTATATAGTGAATTTAATACGACCGGTAAAATTAAAGCCATTAGGATCGATATTTTAGGTGGTGTAGTGGGAATGGAATTCATAAGAATACTATACTAATTTTCGTGTCCTCTATTCTAGCTAATTCTTTTCTCACAGTTCACTCGAGGTCTATAGAAATTTGTTTCATAAAGTCTTTTTTTTTAGTAGTTATTTTGAGCATTTTAGATTTATTGTTGTTTGAATTCTCTGAAACAATAAGTGACATATTTTCCTTTGCTAAATATGATCCATGTGAATAAGTATTCTCTTAAACAGCAGAGACCTAATTATATTTTTGGATCGATACTCTTCCGATTGAGTCTCATTCGACAATCAGTATACAAGTGAGGCTCATCCTATATATTTGTTGGCATTTTGTAACACGTACAAAGATGTTGTTGCACCTAAACGAAGTGATGTTCATCTAAATTTCATCACAGTTACGTGTTCGATAAAATTTCTTGTTATTGCTCACATCTTTCTGCATTCCCTTCATATTTTTCTGTAAAATTTTCCATCTGACAAGAAAAATTCAGCTTCTGGTAAGTAGCCATCGTTATTCTAAGTTTATAACTCTTTATAGCTATAATTATTTCATATAACAGCACACGTGAGCGTATTGAAAAAGTTATGCCGTAATATCTTGATGAAAATATTCTCTTACTTTGAAATACTGCTCTTGGTATTCTTATTAAATTGCATTCAAAGATGTAACGTATTCATTTCCACAAACATTTCTCATACAGAATAGTAAATTACTATAAAACTTAAACAAAAATCTTGGTTCCAAATCAGTGGATATAGACTAGAAAAATCAAACTGACTAAAGTATAATGGGTATAGTCTTCCACACAACTGAAGGAGACGTAACATATGTTCAACAACTGAAATCTGAGCTTTGCTCTGCACTAAATTTCGTGAAAGGTCATTAATATTGGAATATCCAAGTTTCTCTTATATACATTCGAATAAGGAGTATTATAGTTATTCTTAGCACCTTTAATTATAGTGCATTTCTTCGAAGCTTAAAAGTCTTGAATTCATTCATCATTCTGAAGAAAAAACAATAGAGTAGCCTGGCAAAATTAGGGTTTTTGTACTATAGCAATTGAAATGAACCAATGTTCTTATCTCCGTACAACCAAGTTCCACGATTTTGATTATTCTTCAGAAATTTTTCATTTTATCTAGAACCCTTACTATCTCTAAGTACTACGATTACAGCTTCAGTGTGACTTCGTCATTAAAGTTAACATCGAATCAGATTTTCTGTCGAATTCATATTCTGTTTAAATCGCTGCTTAACTCTAACGTCTTGAGCAGTTCGAAACAATCCCATATTTTCCATTAATCGTTCCTGAAATCTGGGTCAAAGTGATCCTCTGAGAAAATCTATCGGTCAATAGAGGCCTGTATTTTACTGAATCACTACTTTGAAAATATTCTCTTTATTTCCGTTTTTGAAAAAAAAAGCTAAAGATTTAGCACTTTTTTCAAGCATTATAAAAGCACATAAGCCTCAACCTATGAGACTTTAGTCATTATTCAGAAGAATACCGATGATTTAAACACTTATTGGGCAAGACAATATTCGACTAGGCTCCGTAACGCACTGCAAACTGACAGCAAACTGTTATAATTTGATCAAGGGTGTCACTTTAGCTTTATTTTACTTTGAAAAAATACAGTAATGTAAATTTAGAAAACGTATATTTCATACAAACATGAAAAATTCAACATTTCTAAATTTAACTTTACCGGACAAGTAACGCTCGTCTCTGTGACTCGCTTGACCCTCGACTGTATATTCGGCTCTTTCGGTGTTATATACTGCTTTGCAGTCTTTAACAAAGCTAGTATCCTATGTTTCAAAAGGGTGGGTGGGTAGGTGTGTGTGGACGTTGATATTAGCGCCAATCTCGTTGTGTACCAGAGCTCGAAACGGGCCGCCCAGCTCGATGGATCGACCCGATCCGGCCCAATGAAACTTTTTTGTCGGGCCAGGCAGGCCGAGCTGCCAAGACCATTGAGCTGGTCGGGCCGGGCCGACACTTGTACTGTTTCTTTTCAAATTTTGAGTAAACTATATGCTCAGTTTAAGAGCTCGAAATTATCATGAATGTTTTATGATAGAAAAAGTATCTAAGCTTCGATGCAGTGACTTGAAAAATAAATAAATGCCATTTTGAATGATGAAACGAGAACTTATTTTGGTGTATTTCCAAGTTCATTGATTAAAGCGATCATTTTCATCAATTAAAATCTGTTACGCTGATTCAAAATCATAGTCGTTGCATTTCTTTCGTTAAAACGTTGCTTGCAGTCGATGAATTTGAAGTATGTCAAAATTAATGTTCGTTTCATCACCAACAACGCGGTGTTTTTCGTATTTTTGATACAAAACTCGTGTTTTTTGTTATTTTTGAAGTCTCTGGAGGGTATGACTAATATAATCAACTCGAATAATTGCTTAACCCAGTCATATTTCTCGTCTACTTGCAACGTTCTATGTAGCAAAAACGGTATCAGTTAACGAGCGGAAATGATTCGCAGAAAAATGTGCCAAAAATAAGTCGCCACCGAGCAGAGGAGCTTTAAATAACACATTATCTAATCCTTCACTTTTGATTAAGCAGTGAATTCATAGCAAGTTTACCATTTTCTGGAAAAAAGAGCAATTCTATGGATTTTGTGCAGGATTCCATGGGAAATTGTTCGCACAATGTTGATGATGTTGGGAGTTAGAGCACTGTAGAACATAGTCTATTAGCGGGTCGAACAAGGGTGTGGGTGAGGGTGTGAGTGTGCGAGTTGGAGTGGGTGAGGGTGGAGCTGAGCATCCGTGTGAGTGAGGATGTGTGGTGTCTATGGATTGAGATCTCGATTTACTCATACCAACACCATTTTGCACTTGCAATCAATAAGAGTTCCGCTAGGTACGACTAGCGATGCAACTGGTCGGTGAGTTAGGATCCTAAGACTAAGTGTCACTGGGACACAAATGTCGGAAGAGTATTTGCCTGGGGAGTATCTTTCATGAAATCCCATTGTTGCCATGTTTACGGCTGTTTTCTCCATACTTATGGCTATTTTTCCCATACTTATCATCTGGTAACTTCATTACAGACAGCCGGACAGGCACAGATGAATTTCCATTTCTGGATCCTATTCTTTCACTCTAAGGAAATAATCCATTGGGAAGTCGATTCCTTGCTAAAGTTAACTATCAGCGTATGTCGAACTGCTGCTCAGCAAACTATTACAGTTACATTGATAAGAGATCGAATACACAACTTACTAGATTAATAGTGTGTTGAAGTGAATGATTAATTTGAAAGAAAGCTTGAAGATATTCGTCCTTTAATGTATGTGGAAAGCGAAAAACAAAAATGAATTGTTTCAAAAAATGAAATAATCGTTTTCGCTATAGACAAACAACAACAATTAGCTGGAGAAAAAAAAACGAGCGCAAGGATCGAAAAATCAACATGAAAGTAAAAGTAAACAGAGAATGAGCGATATTATTGACATATGCGCTGCATTTTTTTTTTGCCATACGTGATTGAAAGGGAAAAAACCACTGTATTTCGTTTCATTTCATCTGTGTAAACAAAGAAAGAAAATAACAATCTGCTGATGTGGCTGCCCGAAAAAGTACGGCTCTTCACATATTCCCCGAAAGAGGAGATGAAATTGAAGACAGCTTGTTGACGGCGATTGCATCAAACTAGAGCATATCTACAGTTCTCTCTCACCAGTGCTTGCATCAGTTTATCACCTCGTCATGAGGGTCTGGCTGTGTGGGTGTGAGTGCCAGTGCGGATTCGCTTCTTGTCAGACACTCACACTAACACCCACAGCCACAGCTACGCCTTCACACCCACACCCCACACCCATATCCACACCCACACCCATATCCACACCCACACCCACACCCCACACCCCACACCCATATCCACACCCACACCCATATCCACACCCACACCCACACCCCACACCCCACACCCATATCCACACCCACACCCACACCCTCTTGACCAGAGCTGATCCATTATTAATCTCATCGTATCTATCGTTTATAAAATATGTTTTATTGACTTTATCGAATTTTATCTTATGTGTCCCACAGACATCCTCTGGATTCCTACTGTATTCTTTGGATTCCCATCGTATCCTTTGGACCTCTATCGTATCCTCTGGATCTCCATTGGATACTCTGGATCCTTCGTATCCCTTGGAGTTCCGTCGTATCCCGGATAGATGGAATCCGCTTTTTCTCCCTTGTATTTAACGATGATTACGATTGAAAACCAAAGTCTATTGATGGCTTTTGTCTGAATGAGAGATTCAATTTCAAAAGTAAATTAAATTTCTTTATCCCTGAAGATTAAGCTTTGAAAAATGCAAAAAATATTTGATACAAGTAACCATAATGGAAAGTTTCGTATGTCACATCCAGTATTTTCTTGCGTTTTTCAAAGCTTAATTCTCGAGGATACAAAATTTAATTTGTTTTTGAAATCAAATCTATCATCAAAATATAAAAGCAATCAACAGACTTTGATTTTTCATTTGAAAACTGAAATTTTTAATTTGTATCCACAACAGTAACGACACTAGAGACAAAAAAATGTTGTGTTTTTACTTTCTTATTCTCATATCATTCATTGAAGCAAATTCCTTATCATTTTCTGGCCAACGACCATATGGATCGATGATTTTCTACACGACGGGACGTGCTCCAACAGATTATGAGAATTATGGATGTTGGTAAGTGACCTAATGAAAATGTAGATATTTTAATGATTTTTCATAATAAATTAGGTGCCGTACGGGAAGTAGACCAGATAAATATGTGGATGAAGTTGATTTATGTTGTAAATTTCGTTTCAATTGTTATGATCTAGCTATGAAATCACCTAAATGTAACGGGATACTAACAGAATATAGCGTTCAACTGGGTAAATCAATTGTGTGTATCGATAATAATCAAACCTGTGATTATGCAACATGCATGTGTGATAAACAAGCCGCTGAATGTTTTGGGGCAAATTTGAATAAAATTAATGATAATTTTTTTAATTTATCGAAAAAAGAATGTCGATATGAAAGTAAGTAAATTATTATAGAATGAAATGTTGTGTAACAGTGAAATAGTCCAGAAATAGCGGAACAGCGATCGATCGAATTATATTTTGAAACGCTTCGTTAGAAACAAAGGGGCTCGTATTATAATGGTTTTTATTCTTCTACGTACTATTGTAAATACCATATTTTGAAAAACGTACAACGTTATATAGAGAAGATGGATAGAGTTCGGAAATATTTCGTTTGAAAGAGCATCATTTCATCTACAAACAGTAGTGTATCAACCTTTTCCAATATTTTGTGAAGTAGTTATGAGTTACTCAAAATACAACTACAAAAGCGTTTTGATACTCTTTTAAATCATTAAAACAGCGTTTGATACTAGATCCGAATATGAAATCAGATTTCCTGCGAATACTTCAGCTTTTTTAAAGTTCAAAATACTACTATACAAGGTGGCGCAAAAGTCACTTTACCCAAAAAAAATGAATATCTCCATTACGGCTCAAGCAAATGAGCTGGTTTTTTTATCAATGATAGAGGCATGTTTAAAGTTTATTTTCATAAAGACATGCCCGGAGAAACTCTTTATTAAGTATTATTATTGATCTCTACAAAGAAAATTTAGTTTTTTTACAGATAACAGAATAACAATGTGCAATAAAGTAAGGTGAATTTATCTGAAAAAAAGACATATTCACTCTTGGTTCTTTCCTGTATTGTGAAATACATATCATAGTACTTTATTGAGATGCAAAGAAAAGGATATCAACATGCCGTAACCTAATCTTTGTTTATATTTTTAAAAAAAATGAAAAATCCTTTAACGCAAATGTTCGAATTGTTTTCCTCCTGTATTAATACACATTTGACAACGATCAGCTACAGAGCGACAAATTGTTTGGCATAGTTCGATATTATCATTGACTGAAGTAAATTCTTGTTTAATTAATGACTTGAGTTGATTAATGTTGCGAGGATTTTGAGTATAGACACGATCTTTTATAATTCCCCATAGTGAGAAATCACATGGAGTTAAATCTGGAGATCGTGGTGGCCACTCAATAGTTCCTCGACGACCTATCCAATGTGAAAATGTATCATTTAAATACTCTCGTACGACTAGACCATAGTGAGGTGGTGCGCCGTCTTGCTGCCAGATCATTGATTCAAAACTTGAGTGTTTTTCAAGTTGTGGTATCATGTAATCCTGTAACATTTGAAGATAATTTTCTGATGTAACATTACCTTCAAAAAAATATGGACCAACAACACCATTTGACTATATTCCTCCCCAAACAATCACCTGTGGTACATTGAGTTCTTGTTCAATAATCAGGTGTAGATTTGTTTCACTCCAATAAACACAATTATGTCTGTTAACACGACCGTTTATCTGGAATATGGCTTCATCCGTCCACAGAATTCGATCTAATAGAGTTGGATCTTCTTCAGTCGAGTCCAAAATCCATTCACAAAACTCCATTCTTCGATCTGGATCATCTTCGTTCAAAGCTTGCAGTAATCTTGGTTTGTATGGTTTTAAATTTAAATTCCGCATAAGACGATCCAAGCTTCTACGAGAAATACCAAGATCAAGTGATGCACGTCTTTGAGATGTTCATGGATTCAGAAGAAAAGCTTCAGAAACACGTTGCATATTTTCTTCTGTCCTAACTGTTGCCGGTCTTCCACTTCGTGGTGCATCTTCAACAGAACCTGTGTCATCAAACTTTCTTGCTAGTTGGTAAATTGCTTGTCGAGTTGGAAATTTTGTATCGGGAAATTCAGCTTGAAAAGCTGCTTTTATTATTCGTGATGTTTTTCCGAACGTCCACCGTTGTTTGAGGAGAAAATTTCTTTCTTCTTTTGTCAGGAATCTTGACATCTGCAAGAATACGAGCTCGAAGTAAAAATTACATATCAAACATATGATAGAAAATGGGAAAAAGGACAAGCAATCTTACCGAGAATACACAAAAACACGTAGAAAGATATGGTGGATGAATCTGACCAACAGTGTAGAAAATGAAGAGGTTTATATGCGAGATATGAGCGTGGATTATGGTAAAGCAGAACGAGAAAAATAGGAAGGGAAAATATATAGGAATACACAACACGTGTTTTACATAAGTTCATATAGTTTATTACATTTCTTCTTAATGAAATGATCATTGCTTATCGTACACTATTTTTTTATTATCTGTAATAAAACTAAATTTTCTTTGTAGAGATCAATAATAATACTTAATAAAGAGTTTCTCCGGGCATGTCTTTATGAAAATAAACTTTAAACATGCCTCTATCATTGATAAAAAAACCAGCTCATTTGCTTGAGCCGTAATGGAAATATTCAATTTTTTTTGGGTAAAGTGACTTTGGCGCCACCCTGTATATAATCCAACACCAGCTCTATCTATTAGCATGATCATATGTCTAAACTCTGATTTGATTTCTACAGAGTATAGAACTCAAAATGATCAATTCTCCGTTAGGTTAAGTCTTCTATCCTGTAATCACAATACATGACACACAATTCATATTCCGTCATTTTATAGTAGATATCGTCTAGTATTGTTTTTAGTTTTTAGATAATAATGCGTCCTTACTAAGTTACAAGCATTGAAAGTTTTCAAAGACAGAAGTCTTTAGGTAAAATTTAAATATTTCAACAGGATTCGACATTGACATTTTTCGACCAAAAAATTCATCAACATGTTTGTGCTTCAAATGTAAAAAAATTTCAGATAGTCGATTTAGTATTCTCGTTGCTGCTTGCATTCAACGGATGCTAAATTACATCTTAGACTTTCCCAAATTACAACTTAGCAAAAAAAGCAGAACATCGATCATTTGGATAAAGCGTATAGTAAAAATGAGTCACAAGAAAGAGCTTAGACAAACATGATAACTGAACTCCTCCACCGAAAAGGGTCTTTATTGAAGTTTATACATTATTATTTAGAAGAAAATACAACAACGCCTGGAGTATGTGACAAAGCAAAATGGAATTCCAATGGAATAACTGTTGCGAGAGCAAATGCACTATGGGGTGTATTTGTTGACGACAATAGCAATGTATATGTAACAGATTCAGACTTAAATACTAAGCGTGTGTTAAAATGGGCTCCAAATGCTACAACAGGAATGCAAGTAGCAGATTGCCGCAGAGAATCGCAATCAGGACCTGTTTACAGAGAGAATTTTGGTGATCCAACAGCTGTATTTGTAGATAACATTGGAAATTTATATATTACAAGTAGTTTAGGACTATATCAACAGTCAGTTATGAATCCGTGTCCACCATGTGGATTCAAAAATGTTGTAAGTCGCTATGGGTATACAGTTGAAAAATGGTCAATAGGTGCTACTAAAGGTATTACTTTAGCAAAATTTCCAAATAGTGGTAATAATAATAGACATGGTGACAGTTATGGACTTTATGTTGATATAGATGATAATATTTATTTATCAGATCAATTTTACCATTATGTTTTTAAATTTTCTCCAAATCAACAAAACTATAGTGAAACTGTTGCTGGTGATCGTAATGGCAAAGGAAATGGTTCTCATCAATTAAATGAACCCAAACAAATATATGTGGATTCCTCTTATAATATTTATATAGCTGACTCACAGAATCATCGCATACAAAAATGGGCACCAGGAGCAAAACAAGGAGTTACTGTTGCAGGTGGAAATGGACAAGGTTCAGAACCAAATCAATTGAATATACCAACGGGAGTATGGCTTGATTCATATGGAAATATATATGTTTGCGATTCAAACAATCAACGAATACAAAAGTGGAGTGTGAACGCAAACGTTGGTATCACTGTAGCCGGTGATTATGGTAAAGGTTCAAATCCACTACAACTAAAAGATCCACAATCAATAACATTAGATTCCTATGGAAATATTTATGTTGCTGATACATACAATAAGCGTGTACAGAAATATATCCTTGAATCACCAACGAGTTGTTAATGAGATTTTTCTTTCTCTTTTTATTGGTTGATTAGCTCCCTATGAATTATTACTAAACATTTCTATTAGGATCACCATCAGTATACAAGTTGTATGGATGGATGATCCTTCTTCTCTCCTACAGTTATCTCTGGTGGTATGTGTATACGTAGTCAGTGTATTTTCTTTTAATTAAATAAAGGGAGTAAAAGGACAAGTATTCACACCATTTCATTTTGATTTAGGTGAATCCACGGGAAAAATAGGGTGTGGGTGTGGGTGTTGCACTCGTCCACATTCACACCCACACCCGTAAATGGCAAATAACATTGTAAAGAAGATGAGTTTGAAAAACTGCTTCTAATAGAGACAAGAGGATACCAAATATTGTCAAAACAAATATATCTTTGTGTTTGCAAAGATTACGTTTGTGACAGTTCTCACCTGGGTACAAAATGCCAATGTTGAAAAACCCGACTTTAACTTTTACGTTTAAAGAAACACTTTGAGTCTAACTTTTGAAGTAAAGTTAAAGTGTCGCATGTACTTTTCGTCAATTTTGACTTCCTTTGCAGAGACTAGAAGGAGATTAAAGATATTATACCTTCTGGCATTGTCAACGAATGGAGGACTCAAAAATAAATCAATATTTGAGATGATTATCTCTCTATGGATTTTATTCGAAAAATGATCAATGAAAAAGTCAAACAGGTTTCGTGAAACTAGACGAGACAATATAGCAACGGACGCGAAATAGGATCGGATGGATCTTCTCAAACTAGCGAAGTGACGGAGTGAGTACGAAAAAGAACTACCACCGTGCCTTTTGATCTAATTAAGGATCTTATCAAGTGACATAATAATCTGCATAACGATAGAAAACTAAAACGAAAAATATCGAAAAAATGATATTTTCCAATATTAATAAACTATTTTAAAGTAGCAGATAATCTCTTCCTGCGTGAGTATGAAAAAGAACTACCACTTTTGCAATCTAATCCTAATTAAAGGAATCGGGAAGAAGTTGCATTAATGGTTTTTTTTTGGTAATCTTTGTTGTTCTGTGTTTAGTCATGAATAATGCTTATCTTGGATTGTTGTGGGTGTGGGTGTGGGTGTGGGTGTGGGCGTGAGCGTGGGCGTGAGCGTGGGTTTGGGCGTGGGTTGGGTGTGGATGGGTGCGGGTGGAGTGTGGGTGTGGGTGTGGGTGGGTGGGGTGTGGATATGGGTAGGTGGGGTGTGGATATGGGTAGGTGGGGTGTGGGTGTGGATACGGGTGTGGGTGGGTGTGGGTGTCGGTATGGCTGTGGGTGTGCGTGTGTGAAGTGTGTGGCTGTAAATGATGATAAAAGGTTCACACCCACACCCAATTAGACCCACACTCACCCACACCCACACCCCACCCACCCACACCCACACCCACATCCACCCACACCCCACACCCACACACCCCACACCCACACCCACCCACACCCCACACCCACACCCACACCCCTTCATACGATTTATTTTATTTTATTTAAGATCATCCTTTTCAGTATAACAATTATGATGCGACATAATTTGTATCATTGTCTCGAAGAACAAATTTTCTTCATTTACATCGAAATATTCATCCTCTATTCATGGTTCTTCCATATCTGTTTTCTTTTTTTGAAACGACTCTTAAATTCTATATGATTTGTCGATTGTCATTTTCAAATTATATTATTGCGCATATTTTTTTTATTATATTTGATATTATTCTTTTTCTTTGTTCTGACTCAAACGTTATCATCAACGAATGATCTATTGGGAGTAATACGGAAGATGACAATCGTTGTTTTTTTTTGTCACTTAATCCAAATTTTTATGCTTTGATTGTTGTTCGAAAATTTTCTCGACATTCGTTCTTTTGATCAATGAAATGATGAACAAAATACCACACCATTAGAATGTTTTCTTTGCAATATAAAATACATGATATTTTTCATATTTCACCGACACCTTTAAATAATAGTTTCAATTTCAATTAATCAATCGCTAAAGAATTTTATTTCGAAGAGGCAACGCTTTAAGTATTTGCTACATTGGAAACGAGTAAGCCTTTTTCTTTTCTTTTTTATTTATTTTTCCTTCCCAAGAAAAAAAACACATGAGTATCATTTTGATTTTGTTCTATCATTTATTTGCACAACTCGTCAGTACTTATGACATATAGTTTGTACGAAGCAACAAAATAGATATTCCATTGAATTGCGAGTAAGAAATTTATGAGTAGAAAAAGCAGAATCTATTTGAGCTTGCTCATTATCTCTTATAGGGATGAACCGTTTATCTTAACTTAAAACTAACTGAAGAGATACTACGTAAGTCTTAATATTGATAAAAAGACATTAGCAACTGTCACTTCATTTCTTACTATTAAGAGAGGATCCGTCAGATCACCACCGAAGACAGCCGCCGCTAATTATTTATTTTTTTTTCAATTCATTTTGTTCGAATAAAAGATCATATCGTGAAACTTATGAATCCACAATATTAGGATTTTCTGACATACTTATAAAAAATATCAAAGATCGCAATTCTCTAATTTATGAAGTTCGACCATAAAAGTTCAGAAAAATGCTTTGTTCACATTCTGTCTTTTTTTTTAGATCTTTTTGCCTTTATTCTTTGCTTTGAGTCGGAAAAGATCTCAAAGAATGCAAAAACGAATTCTCTACAAACTGAGCTACACCAGTAGTTATAGCAATAACTTTTAGTAATCGATCGTGCTTTCACAAGAAAGATGGTTGGGGTTCCACGGTTTATGAGTGTGGATTAAGAAAAGAAAAACACCTAC